CAACTCTCTCCCCTTCTACTGCACGCTCTCCGCTGGGGACCTCTCTGCAGAGTCGGAGTCCAAATCCAGCCCCTGCCTATCTCTCAGCTCAGAGGAGACCTGTGGCCAGGGCCTGTGGGACACTTGCTCGGCCTGCATTCCTGAGCCATTCACACATGTGGGTGGAGGTGTTAGTCCAGGCAGCTTACCCAGAGGAAGAAACCCCTGAGCCTGAGCGACATCCTCAGCCCAGAGGGAAAAAGGAGAGAATCCTGGCCATTAGTCATTGGCCTGGGCTTGTTGACAGAATGCCAGAGTGGGTGGCCAACCATTAATGGGATGGCCTGGCCACGTGGCACTAGGTATTGTAGATGGAAACTGGCCACTGCAGGGCTTGTGCTGTGGGTGGGAGGCCACGTGGGGGAGAAGGCGCAGCTATTGGGGAGGCAGGGGTCTGAGGTTTCTGCTGAGCGCTGACTTTGTCGGGACAAAACTCAGGATGCCCCAGTTTCTTTCTCCTGTCCCACTCTGCCTGCCATTTGGAGGACAGGAGGGAGGAATGGTTGCAAACAGGGATGCAGAACCCAGGCTACCTGCCAGCCAGTGACTCACCGCTTGCATCTCAGTTTCCTCCATGCTGTGTAACAGGGATGGTCAGAATAGCTGCTCAGTAGGGCTGTCGAGAAGGGTGAGTGCGACGGTGCACACTGTGTTGACTGAAGGCCGGGCATCTAAGGGAGAAGGGCTATTGTTTATCTGGCAAAGTAGTAGTTGGCCAGCCACATGGTGAGGCAGGCACTCGCCCTCACTCGCTGAAAACTCTCAGTGTTTGAGTTGGTGGCCAGCCTCGTCTCTTGAGTGGGTTTGGAATCCTGCATCATCTACTGAATGACAGGATATGAAGCCCAGGGCAGGTGTGTTTTGTTGTAAACATTCTGAGGCTTCTGTTTTCTTATCTGCATGATGGGCAACTAATAACAAACAACAGCCTGGTGAGGTGATGCCATGCTAGCACATGTCAATCATCTGCAAGTGGAAGGCCCTCAGGAAATGATAACATGCATGTGTGTGCGTGCATGCACACGTGTGTTTTTGTAAAGTGGTGCTCACTGCTGTGAACTTGTACGAATGTGTGAGTCCATGCATGCATGTGCATGTGCTTGCTTGCATGCATGTGTGTGAAGTGTTCACTGCTATGGACCTGCACACTTGGGCTTTCCCAGTCTATCCAGGTCAGGTCCAGGAGCACCTGGGAGGGTGGAGGCCTGGCCACCGCCTCCCTTCTCTCCCCAGGCAGGTGTAGGCCCTTGGTCAGGAGGGCGCTTGTGCAGAGGGAGCTCAGGACAGGCAGTTTCCACAGAAGCGAGCAAAGGGCAGGAGGAGGGGACAAGGCACTGGGCGTCTGCCCTGGGCACCTGCGAGCTGGTTTGGAGGCAACATTATTTCATTACTCCTTCCCAGAATCCTGCGAGGTATTTATGAAGACCCTCATCTTACAGACTGGGGGGGGGGTAGGTGAGTCCACAGGGCAGTGCCACCTTAAGCTGGGCTTGTCTGCTTCCGAACTCCTGGGAGGGCTCAGTAAATGCAACTGCAGTTCAGCATGTGGTGGAGACGAGGAGCTGCCTGTCTGCAGACCTGCCCCTGAGAGCAAACCTAGACTCGGCTGTGTTCTGTGTGGGGTTCCTTCCTTAGGTGCCGACACACTTCTTTGGAAAATGCGGAAATGGCCTGGGCTGACCCAGGAGGAGAGAGAATGGTCACTCACACCCACAGAGCCAGGGTGACAGACCAGCTTGAGAAACCAACTGGAGGCTGGTGCCTGATGGCTGAGGAGAAGCTGGTGGAACTGGGGGGTGTTAGGAAAGGGAGCACGCAAGGAGCGTGTGCAGAATGTGCATCTCTAGGTACTTTCTGCCCAGGAGTTGCCTTCTGTCTTTCTCAGACTGAGGACTTTCATAGAGACAGAAAGGTACAAACTATTAAAATCCAATCTTAACTAATGTAAGATCGGGAAACCGAAGCTCAGGGAAGGGCAGGGACTTGTGCCAAGTTGCCCAGCAAGTGAGGGCAAGAGCAGAGGCTGCCTGGCCTGTGTGCTGCCTGGATATTCATCCGTGCATCCACCTGTCCCTCCATCCCTGGGCTCACCTGATCTCTGTCTATACAGACTCATTTCAAAACAGATATGGTCCCTGCCTCGACTGAGCTGGTGTACAAGTGAGAAGAGCTTCAGTACAAGGAACATGGAGACAGGGCTCTGGGAGATGGGATGCAGGTGAGGGTGCCATGGGTCAGGCCAGTGATGGAGGAAATGAGACCTGCCGAATGGGTGAGCTGCCAGGGAGAGAGCTGGGTGGAGGACCGTTAATGGCTAAAGACTTAGAAGTAGGAAAGCACTCAGAGTACTTGAGGAACCAATCCATAAATAAACACGCTGCAGGGAAGGTGGGGAAGAAGGGGGCCAGGTGAGGTCTAAGAAGTGTGTGGAGAGAAGGTCCTGCAAGGCCTTGAGCTCATGGTAAGGACTTTTGAGTCTTATTTGAAAAAACAGTATCTATTGAGGTTTTGCTTGTATGAGGTGAGGCAGGATGCATTAGAGAGAAATCGGACTGAAACGGTCCCTCATGGGTCGTAGCACCTGATGGGAAAGAGTTACGGAGAGAATTGTGCAGGAGATATTAGAGGTAACTGGATCATTGTAACATTAAGATGTGGGCAAGGGCAGCAGAAGGGGACAGATAAAGGGATGGGTGAGTCGAGGACAAAGAGGCTGCCCAAGTCTGAGAGGCGGGAGAGGGGGGACCATAGGCAGGAAAGGTGTCACAGACGGTGAAATTGGAGCTGGTGGGAAATCTGAGTCAGCACATGTGAATTTAGCATTGAGCATCTTCCGAGTGTTAGGCATGTGCTGGGGCGTTTGCATATTTCTTCTTGTTTGATCCTCACAACCATGTGAAATATGATGCTTTTTTAATCGCACTCTTACAGATGTAGAAACTCAGGGTTATGGCTTTTCCCCAAATGGCTCAGCAAGAATGGGGTGGTGAGGATGCCCACCCAGGCCTCTAAACTCCCACAATGGAACTCTCCCCACTCACAGTCAGTTAGACTTGGACTTCGCTCTGCCTCAGTTTCGCCACTCAGACTAGAGGGTTGTCTCCACGTCTTTTCCCATTCTAACTCTCTGTGCTTCTCCTGGCGGTGAAGAGGTTGTGGGGGAATATTCTAGATTGGAAGGCACAGCCTCCATAAAGGCATGGAGGTTGGGAAGAAAAGGTGCTAAGCAGGGAACAGCAGGGAGTTGTGAGCAGAAAGACACTGCATGGAAGAGGCAGCTGCCAGAAGGCTCCGCCAGCACCAAGCATCTGTGGCTTTCATTTTAATAGGGAAACAGGCGCACTGGCTGTGGGTGCAGCGGAATCAGAGAGGAGAAGCAGAAAATACACTCACTCATTCTATGGAGTAGGCCTTGGAAAACAAGAATGAACGGGACTGACATGGCTCCTGACTCACCTAGTGAGAGAGAGAAGGAAATATATCTATGTGCATAATTAGGTATATGATTGGACTCTGAGCATATGTCAAGCACTGTGTGATAAATGTTTCTTGTCACTTCACTCATCCCTCACCGCAGCCTCAGGGACACTATGCTTCACTGTTTCCATTTAATGAATGAGTTGAGGTACCTAAGATGCAGAGATATTGTCACATGCCCCAGGTCACACTGTTAGATGACAGAGCTGCAGGAGCTGATATCTCAATCTTTCCGCTCATCCCTGCATTTGGACATGGAGAGAGGTTTGGAGAAAGGGAGGGAGGATGGGCCAAGAGGCAGAGAAAAAAATGTTAGCTACACAGAATGAGTCCACAACCTAGACTCAGAGCTCTCTGAGGCTCTAAGAGCACTTGGAGACCCTGCCCAGGCAGGAGGCGAATGAGGTCACTAAATCCATCTGCACAGATGGGGGACCCTCTGGGGAAAGTGTGATGTGAATGTCATGATGCAATGAGGTGAAATCTGCTTGGCTCGCGTTAGCCCAATTTGGGCTCAGGCAGGGGCTGCATGGGGAAGACGTTTGCTTGGCTGGGCTCTGTCTCTGTTTCTAGAAAGGAAGGTGGCCGAAGGTCACAGAGCATGTGAGGAGATGGAGCGGGAACTGACACTAGGGCTACTCACTGTTCCTTTTTGAAAAAAGTTTCAAATCATTATTTCCCCCAGGCTTTGTAATATCTACATATAGCAAACCACTGTATGCCTCTCACTTTTCTTTTGCTAAAATCTGTTCCCTAGGTCCTTCAACCAAATGTTATGCAAAGTCTGTGTGAAATGTCCCCAACAGGATCTCAGGTGCCCTAGCTCTGAGAGGAGCTTTGTGGCTTGCATCCTTGCCTCCCAAAATGGAAATGCCCAATCCATATAGAGAACTGTGTTTTCTTAAAAGGCACTCTCACATCCTTTATCTCACTGATCACCTCGACAGTGTGATTCCATTGCACACTCTCTGAACAGCTCTGGGAGAGTGCATTACAGTTCTTCACTCACGATTTCATTCAGCCCAAGAGGTCATAGTGCAAGTCAGTCTCATCATATCACTTCTACAGCTAAGCGCTTGAGGGTGGACGAGAGGTAGCTCTTCTTATTGGAAATATAAGATTTGTCACTTACTACTTTGGGGGAATGCCTGCCACTTTCTGAGCCTTCATTTCTCCACCTGTGAAATGGTGACTTTTTGTTCCTGTCTTACATAGTTGTCAAAGGGTTCAGTGTTTCCGTATTTGCAGAGTATTTTGCACATTGCCTGACCCGTGGTAAATGCCAGCGAAAAGGAAGGTGGCTAGGATAACAACCCAGGTGATTTCCATACAAGCTATCGTAGGGGCTAGAAAAGAAACAAAGTCAAGACGAACTTGAATCTGTTATCCCACCAATCCAGCAGTTGTTCCTTGACCTGCCTCTCTGAAAAGTATTCCTTGAGACCCAAACACTTGGTTCACCTCCCCTCTCTTTTTCTCCATAGGTCACCCCCTTCCCCATGTCCTGTGACCTACAAGGTGACTGTGCCTGTCGGGACCCCCAGGCTCGAGAACACAGCCGGAAAGACCTCCGGGGATACAGCCATGGCTAAGGAAGGACAAGGAGTTAAGAATTCCCAGCGCCAGGACCCGCATCCCTTTGGTATTGATTTCAGTCAGCTGCTCCGCGGATTGGCCTCTCCACACCAGGGATCCTTAGCATCCAACCGGTCTGCCTTTAATTTCACCCAGGAAGGACTCACAGTTGGGGCGCACGAAGCAAGTCTCACCATGTTGAGTAATGGCATGGGATCCCACCCCACAGTCTTAGATGGATCACATGCAGAGCATGCAGTCCAAAGCCTCCTAAAACTCTAACCATTTGTCACACGACCACAGCGAGAAACATGCTCTGTGCCCAGGAGTGTGCACATCTGTGGTTAGTACACATGCATGCATACACACCCATACAAACATCTGTGTGAGGGCAGTTTTGGAGACTGAGCAGAGAGAGACTGGAACAAAGTCAACCTTTCCTTTCCCAAGCTCCCAGCCAACACTGTCCTTGGGAGAAAGAGAGCTGCAGAAACTGCTAAGACCGAGTATTGAGATGCCAAGATGGGTCACACCCTGAGGCTTGGTATATGTAGGATGTGCACAATGGTACAGTCCTTTGGGATCGGAAGTGAAATGGTCTCTGATCACCTACCTTCTAGGAAAGTAGGGCCCAGGGAGAAGTAAAGAATCCAAAGTGTATGAAGCCCCCCGATTTTTCCCGCTGCCATTGGGGGATTTACCCCAACTCCAGGGTTTAAGGCCAAGCTGGAAATGGCTTAAGATTGCAATGTCAAGGTATTATAAGAGCCCCCTGCTTGAGGCATGAGGCCATAATATCCCTCCGGAACCCACCCATTCCCCAAATCTTGCCTTGGGACCACATTTGCTGCTACTTTTCCTGCTGCTCTATCCTATACATTGAGTAACCCAAGATGGTAGGACTAGGTTAGGAAAAACCCCACACAACCAAACAGTCTGCCTTAAATGTGACCCACATTTCCCCACAGCTCCTCCCTCCCTAGTCCTCCTGCAAGAGAAACTCTTCCTTGGTCCCCCTGGAGGGAAGCGCGGTCCTCTGTGGGTGGGCTTCTCACCCTGGGAGGGAGTCGGAACCCTCAGCCAGCTCCAGGATGTCTAAGCCAGTGTTAGATTTCATAATCAGGTGGAACAGTGTTACGTTTCTGCGATGCTGGAGCCATCAGGGGACTGCTAAGAGTTGTAGGGACTCTTGAGTTATGCTCCTTCTCTGAGCCTTCTTGCCTGTCCAGGCTACAGCAGGCTTTGGTCCTGAGGACCTCCAGGTGGCCCTGAGCAGCTAGCCTTCTGGAACAGAGTCGTCTTGAATGTGATCAGTCTCAGCTATGTTCCAGGGGCCATCAGAGGGAAGTCCAAGGGTGCCAGCCTCAGTCCCCAGCAACCCAATATGGTCATGATGTTTCCCACCGTCTTCCATCTTCCAGTGCTCCCGCCCACACCTGGGGGTGGGCAACCCTTCCGTCTCCCACATTCCACCTCCCAAAGTGCGGAGTCAGTCAGTCAGTCAGACGCCCATGGGAGCCTCCCCTCTTTGGGGCCCTCTTTGCCTCTTTTCAGCCAGTTTCCATCCACTCCTTTTGAGGAATGTGGAGAGAGATGAATACAGGAAAAGGTGGAGAGAATGGTTAAGCTTGACATAATTTCTGACACCTGGAACTGAAAAAGTGAGGCGATGGGAAGGTCTAAATTAGACATAGCCCATAAAGATTGCTATAAATCACGTCCTCTCAAGTTTAGAGAAGACAACCAACAAAAACACAGTCTAGCATGGGAGCGGAACACGCCAGGCATGCGTGCTGCCCCACCAGGTTCCTGCTGCTGAGGCAGGCATTGCTATAGCTTTCTCCCATGGGGACCAACAAGAACTTCAGAAAGCTCCTTACTCTGTCACCCCCACAGCAACAGCCTGATCAAGGATGCTTGAAAAGATACTTATTGGCCATCATCTGTGGTCTGTGATATTTAAAAAAAAAAAAAAAAAATCTATCAAGGTGCTTTTTGCACAGGTGCCCACAAATAAGGATGCAGTGCTTGGAGAGTTTTGTGTGGCTCGCACTACATTACCAACTCTGGGACGAAGTTCCAGAGTGGAGAGGCTGCCACCATTGTTAAGGCCAGGCTCAAATCCTTCATGTTTCTTCCTTACAAACTCCTATTTTCATTCAGGACATGGTTTTTTTTCTGCAATTACCAGGGCCAATCGTTAGCAAAATCATAATTATAATAGAAGACTTCATCCAGTTCTGTAGCCCCTCTTCAGTGTCTTAAGAGCTCTTCCCAACTCTCGAGGCCCCCCTTTTGCTCTTGAGTTATCACCCCGTGTGGTATTAGGTCAAAGTTAGAGCTAAGAAAAATAATTTCGTTAGCCCTCCCCGTTGCTTTATGACACAGTAAATAATGCAAACAGCCTTGGAGACCCCGAGACAACATGACAGCTTCCCTTAAATGGACCCCCATCCTCTCCCTCTTCCCCTTGTCTGTCCCCACCTTCTCCAGCTGAGTAGTTTCCTGAAGGCTGCCTTCTATCTCCAAATGGAGTGGAGCCCTCTGAGCAAACTTCTGCCTGGTCTCCTTCCCGTCATTCAGACCTGTCACTCGCAAATTCCCCTTTGCTAAGGCCATTGGGAAAGAGAGGCTGCTGGATTGGTGGCCAGCCTCATGCCCACATGGGAGGTGTAACTCACGGGCCCTCCTCCCACCTTAGTGGAGGTGGGTCTGCTGTATTCATGCAGTGCACTGGCACCGTTTCCTTTTATTTCTGGGAATAGACTCGTCTCATCTTCCCATCATCTGTTTAGAAAAAGGGAGTACTCCCAGGAAGCCCTGTGTTCTGCCAGCACTTGGGGTCCTGCATCTGCATCTACAGAGGATTTGTCTGTTAGCAGCAAGAAAGAGATGAGGTAGTTAGCCCTCCAAGCTCTCTCTTGGGAAGCCTTTTTAAGCCACAACCCTGCCTGCCCAGAGAACTCACATTATCCCCACCCCACTGCCACCCCCACCTTCGGTGCCAACCACCTCTTAGGGGAAGGCCGTCCTTGAGAAGTCTGTTTCGGCGCCTGATTGGGTGTGACAGAGAGGAGAGACCAGTGTTCATAAAGAGCAGGGCTTTGAGGATGGAGGGTGACAGCTGCTCCTGCTGGCTGCAGCAGGTTGAGTCGCTACCTAGACAGTGCTCTTGGTCTCGGTCTCACCTGGCCAAGACGTAAATGCTATTTGTTGAAAATAATTCTTTGAGACAGATTTCAGCTACCTCCCTTCCAGGTTTGTGTTAATTTGGTTGCAACTGTCCATTTGTTATAGGTCTTACTTGTGTTAGAGAGAAGGAAGGAAAGGAAGGAGGGAAGAAAGAAAGGAAACCCTATTTTTAAGTGACGAGTTTTGGGTGGTGTGTTGTTGTTTTTCTGGAACTACTTCAAGTGCAGAATTAAATAGAAGAAATTGATGGTGATAAAACTGTACAGATAGAAATTAATAGATGAGGTTAAAAGAATATACATATGCATGATTAAAAAATAAGATTTTTTTTTAAACAAACTATTTTTGTGCTTCCTAAGGAAAATTGTTTATTCTATAGACTGAATAGGTAGACACAAGCATAAAGATTTCCCTACAGGAGAGGTAGAGTGGGAAGCCTAATACTGCTGTTTTCTGTACGTTGTGCTAGGCCTAGGAAATCAGGCAACGTCCCCTTTGATGTGGAGTTGTTGTTTGGGAGGCCATTATGTCTCTTTGGCGGCAATGTGTGTTTATAGGGAGTGAGAGGGCTGGCAATTGGTTTCACCAAATATTAAGGGGACATCCTGTGTTGTGCTTCTCATAATATAAAAGTGTGTGTCCCTACCAGTAGCATTGGGCTTTCTGCACTTAGAACCACACTGCACAGTCCACAGGGCTAAATGCTGCTACCCGACCCAACAGGTTAATCCCCATGGTTCCTGAGACACAAAACAAAACAAACCCAGCAAACAACACACCTAAAAGCTAAATAGCACATGAAATGAGAGCCTGTTCTTTTTAAACCCATTCATATTTTGCTAAATTCCTACCCACTGCTGGACCCATAAAGGAAAAGTTGAATAGCCACACAGGGATTATGTCCCTACAATAAGAACCTAGACCTCTTGACTCCAGGCAGCAAGCAGTTTGTTTAGTGATCTTGAGCAAGTCATCAATTCGCCTCTCCATTTGCCTCAGTTTCTCCAGCTGCAAAATGGGGATAATACTACTTAACCTACCTCACCATGGGAGGCCAGGGGATTGGGAGGCCCTGATGTTCTACTCAGGCCAAAGGGAGCTGAGAGCCAAGGCTACACACACAATCCACGGGCTCCCTCAAGAGAGGTGGGGGCCTAAGGGCCTTTTAGGGATGACAGTGAGTGGGCGTTTGATACTCCAGGGGATAAAGCCGGAGTCCGTGTTAAGAGAGAGGCTCCTGTTAGGGAATACTTCATCCTTAGATAAATTGTGCTTTCCCCGCTTATCCTCGCCTTGACGAGTTCTACCATTCGATTCAAAGCCAATTACTTCCTGCAGAGTAAAAGCCAGTGTACTGCTTCCTCTTCCACACTCCCAGGCCATTCCCGCTCCACAGAAGGGCCCTCAGTGTGTGGTTAGGAGATCTGGCTTTCTGAGTGCAAACCCCTCGGGGCTTCTCAAACTAGACACCAGCAGTCGGCGAGGAGTACTTTGAACAATTACTGAGTTGCTTTTTGGGGTCTCTATAATCAGTAACCTGTCTGCAGATACCTATCTATATAAAGATATTATATGAAAATATAAATTTACATATATATGCACATGTATATATAGTTGTACATATATGTGTGTGTATATATACTTAAATGTAATATTTACAAAATAAAACTGTGATCTCGTCTAGAGAAAATGTATTCATATTACAAACTGCTCTTCCATATTTATGTACCATATTATACCTTTTTATTATTGTTTATAATTATTATGGGTATTTCTAATTATGATGATGTTGAAAATCTGTTTGGCACCTTCTGGAAACTACCAAAAAAAAAAAATAATTCTCCATTGAAGTGCTTAAAAATCTATTCTCATGAGAATTCTACTGGCCTACTATGAAAAAGGAAAAAAAAAATCTAAACGCCGGAACCAAAACACGATTCCAATCCTTTTTCTGTACCTCATGCGCATAAATTTGCTGCTCCTATTTTGGGTTTTATTTTTATTTTTCCTGTTCATGTGTTTTTATGGATCTAAGTTAAGTCTTTTAGCAATATATAAAAATGTAAATAGTAAACTTTATTTATTAAGAATGTCATCTTTTTTAATTTATATTTACACAATTGTTCATCTAATTTATTTTTTCTATACGGTTTTAAATACTCAGACATATTTTGCTGTTCATGGTATTTTTATCCTGTTCTTGTGGATTCGTTTTTCCGTACTGTTTTCTCTGGTTTCAATTACAGGTTGGATCTCACAAAAAACCTAATGTCAAAGACATAAATATTTTGCCACTGTTGATTACTATACTTTAAAGTTCTATATTATGAAAATATATAATAGCTTGTATGCTTCAGTTTGGAGTGGTGTGTGTTTTGTCTGCTGCAGAAACCTAATGGCCTCTCCTATACTCTCACTGATAAGGCAGAAACCCGGGGCCTGGCAGGAAGCCAGTGGTGGCATGAATGTAGGACACACCCATCTTCTGCACTAACAGCTCCAGGAGAGCATCTCCATTTTGCATATGCAAACATGAACACCATCCTCACGTCTTACAGGAAAGTCAGTTTTCAGGGACTAAACAAATGTCACCTCCAGCCATACCTGCCCTTGGAATGCCCTCTCCAACAATATATGCCAGCGCGTTCAGTCTTCTCATTTTCTCCCTTTGTCATGAAACACACAGTCATCCCATTCATACCTCAAACCTGAGCCCACACGGACGTTTGGCTGTTTCCGAGCTGCCAATGGGATCTCTCTCTTTTTTAAATCTTGTCACAACCTTAGTATCTGTGTGATCTTTGGAAAATTATTTAGGTGCTTTAAGAATTAGTTTCCCCGCCTGTAAGATGGTAATCAAGTCTCCACATCGGAAGGTTGTTGCTAGAATAAAATATCCGAAGTGACTAAAACTGGCAGATATTACATAAACTCTTGGCTATGATTATTATGAGACAAGGGCTGCTTATGACACCTATTAACAATACACTCATTTTCTTCTGAGATTGGCTTGTTTTTTAAAAGAATGAAAACAAGATGCACTAAAGCACTCATTTGCACCATCATTGCCATGGAGTGGGTTCCTGGCACTGCACCCTGAGCTGGCGGTTGGCAGCACAACTAGAGGACGGGTCAAAACACCAAAATGTTGAACTCTGCACAAAAAGACAGTCTGGGAATATCAGTGTGGATTACAAAAAAGGCACGGGTAGGGGAGCCAAGAACTCCCCATAACCGGATGGAGAACTCCACAACACTGAGAAGGCTAAAAAGGGCTAAAGCCAATGTAACCCTGATATTTGGGGCTAGTGATCTGAATCCAAACCAGCAAGCTCAGTGTACATTCCTGATAGCCTATAATTAAGTCATTATCTCCTTCCCAGATACTGGTCTTGCAGAACCTGTTACTGTGAACAGTGCACTGCCCTGGAGAGAGGGTTATTAATGTTGGCATCAGGCCAGACCATCAGAAATGGCCTGGAGACGCATAACACCTGGGGGCCTTTTTGCAAGGCCCGAGAAAAGGACCAGAAGCATAATCCATATTTGCAGGACAAAGACCAAAGGGAGCTATAAAGGAAAGCCCCATGCATGTTTCTTCACTCAGATTTGGAAGGCTGTTCCCCGAGTCCACCGGTGTATTAAACAGGGTCCCTCCCCTTCTTTGAAGCATCCTTGGCTCTCTTTGGTCTTCTGCAACAACACAACCCACCTAGACACCCAAGGGAGGGCACCAAATACAATGAAGGTCATTGGGAGAATCTGCCAGATGACTGGTTATTTCCCAAATAAGATAAATGATTACAGTTCTATTCACTTCTCTTGAATTCACTGTGAAGACTGGCACGAAATTTAAAGAATGGCTTCATGGAGAGAGGCACATGTTTCCCAAACAGAAAGATTAAGTGACAAAGTGTGAATGTGACTTTGTGTGCACCCTGGATTTGTCCAAAGAGACCAGAAGTCACGAGGCAAAGAGATTTCTCTTGGAGGATATGAGACGTTCCTTCTGGTGCCTTTTCTATGCACACACACACACCAACACATACTTTGTGACAGAGGAGTTCACTGGGCTTTAGTGGCTTCGACTTCTCACTATCAAACAGGCAGAAACAGCATATAGATCTATATGTCACCCAAGGTTTTAGAATTTGTCTAACCACAGTATTTTAAAGGTTTTTTTACAAAAAAAATAAATAAAAGATAAAAGGGTAGAGCGGGCTATCATGTGATGCTGGCACTGGTAAACCCAGTTCTCAGATGCCAAGAATAAGAACCTAGGACAAAAGCATGGCCCCTCCAGCCAGCAGCCCTGGAGACACTTTGCTTCCTGGAATGACTGTATTAAACCCTCTCAAGAAATGATGTCTGAGTTAGGAATCAGGGGAACCAGACTCAAGAGCCCTCTGCCCCTGGTGTATATTTTCTAAGACAAAAGGAGTTATTGATGTGAAAAAAGCAGGCAATAGGTTTAGCAAATGGGACTAACAGGTGCAGCATCTTAGGTACTAAATTAAAAACAAACAAACATGGCACTCTCAAAAAACTGAATGACAGGCCAATGCACTGGACCAGTGAGAGGGCAGGGAGGTGATCCTGGGACCGTGAGCCAGGCTGAGGGTACCAGGCATTATCTTAGCAGCAATGGGGAGCTGTGGAATGGTTTTGTTTTTTGTTTTTTCATGATCAGATTTGCGGTTGAGAAAGATCCCTTAGATGGCATGTGAAGGAGAATGCTGAGGGAGGGAGGAGCACACCTAGGGAGTCAGAGGACAAGGTGCGGACCAGGAGAGAAATGGTGGCTATTTGGGTGGCAATGGTAACAGTGGGTGGGCAGAGGATGTTTCCCCTTCTATTCTTTGGTGAGATTGATAGAATGAGCTGCAGTGTGTCACATTCCGTGATTCTAGAAAGTCCTTGTACACCACCGCTAGTGACTGATTTTAGATTCCTTTTTAAAAAATTAATAAAAGTATTTTTCAGAGAAGTTATGGGTTCACAGAACAATTGAGCAGACAGTAGGGTTCAAATTGGATTTCCTTTTACATAACACACGATGGGGATGGGGCATCTAAATTTTTTCTAAGGTGAGCTATCAGGAAAACATACACACACAGCCGTTTTCATCATGTGTGTGGTATCAAGTCATCTTCCTGCTGAGAGGAAAGGTCTGGGGAAGGAGTCAGGAGGGGCTCCGGGAGGCCTGGGAGCCTCAGCATTTACATGCTGCACCTGCTTGCATTCCAGTGGCCTTGTTCATGGAACGGGTTTTATCATTTCTGTCCTAAATGGGCCCCCAAACACTATCATTTAAATACTCCAGGGATGGCAACTATTTCAACTTAATCTCAACACAGACTGACGGGAGGCGATTGCAGTGCTGGGTTGGGAAAGATTTTCATAATGGGGCCGGGCTCCAGGGAGAAGAGGAATGTGACCTTGCGCAAGTCATCTCTGAGCTTGCTTCTCCCGAAGCTGCCCGGGTGGAGACGGGAAGGACGGTGGCTGAAGGGGACACTCTCTGGGGCTGAGCACCACGTGGCCACAGGGCCCCGTGGTGGCCCTCCTGGCCAGCACGCCCTCTCCTTGACGAAGATGAGAGATTTAATCATCTTCATGCTGTGCTGAGCCCCTAGGACAAGGGACCCATCTGCACTATGACTGTTGCAAAGGGAGCACTTTTGACCACGTTGCAGATCCACCAGCAGATGAGTGATACAGACTGTGGTCTATCAGACAAAGGGCCATTGCTCAGCCAGGAAAGGGGATAGAAAGCCCTGATGTATGCGGCAAAGTGGATGAACCTGTGCTATCCCGCTGAGAGAAAGAGGACAGACATAAAAGGTTACATGTCATATGAATCCATTTATAGGAGATATCCACAACAGATAAGTCCATATAAACAGAGTGCTGATTGTCCAGAAAGGGGTCCTACTGTGTGGCTCCCACGAGGAGCCCGTCTGGGCTTCGCATGGAAAAGGAGCAGCGCATCGTCCCAGAACCTTGGACCACAGAGGACACGTTCCTCACCAGGATCACAAGCACTTTAGAGGAACTCAGACCACATGCCAGAAGGGAAGTGACCAGACATCCCATTTTCTCCTGAAACAGACACAAGGTGTCTTTTCCTCCATACATCTGTGTGTATGCATGCATGCAGCATGCGCGCGCACACACACACGCCAGGAAGGCACAATTCCCATTTCAAAACCTCTTTCCAAGGATCCAGAGAGAACTTGGTTTCCAGACGTTCAGTGCACTGTCCAAGGCCTAAACACAAACCCTGATATTCCTCACCCACCAGTGGAATGGCTTTCTGTCAAGTTGTTACAAATTTTTCTCTGTGTTATTTTAAAAATATTTTCCATGAAGCTCCCTGCCAAATGCTTTCATCTCAGACATCTGCAGCTCTCCTGGAACTGATGTGAACACATACAAAGTGTCTGCTGTTGGGACTCTACTCACCTGTACGTTTCAAGTTGTGTTCAGAGCCTGAGATTGGTAAACAGCCTCAGTTCTCAAGAACACAGCTGCCCTATGTTTTAGCTAGCCTACCTGCCCCTGCCCCCGTGGATTCTGCCTACCCACCTCACTGGATGCTGCCTACCTCCAGGGACTTATCTTTTGCCGCCATCCCCGCACCGCCACCTATCCCACCCTCACTTCCGCTCCACGCAAACTGAGCTCCCTTCAGGTCCCGCAGCATTCCACGCTCTCTCAGTTCTGAGCTTGGGAGTTAGGCTTGCCCTTCACCTGGAATGCCCTCCCTTAACTATGGAGATCACGCCTGTTCATTTTTGAGGTCGCAGTTCTGATAAGCATATTAACAATTATTGTTATTATTATAGCTTTCATTGACTGTAGGCTTGCTGTGTACCTGACATGAAACAAAATACAGGCACTCCTCTAATAGACACAACAACCCATAGAAATAGATATAATTATTGGTTTCCTCGTTTTATAAAGGAGGAAACTGAAGCATGAAATGTCCAATAACTTTTCCAAGGTCACGTGACTAGGAAGGAGTGAAATGTGAATTTGAACCCAGGTGATCTGATGCTGAATCCCCAAACACAATGAGGCCGCATGATGCTCCTTGAAGCCTTTTCCAACCCAGCCTCGCCTGGCAGGCCTGCGAGCTCTGAACAGCCCTGCTTTCTTCTACAGCTGCCTTCACCATCCTGCACTCATTGTCTCTTTCCTCCTCCCATTCCTCACACACACACACAATCTGCTTTTCATTCACCCGCTAACCCGAAGCTCACAGTAGGTCTTCTGTGATTGTTTGAGGAAGATATGAATGCATTTGGACAGAGTCTGAGTTAAATACCATTCATGGAGAAAATACATGCCTAT